AATGATTGAAGAATAATGGAAGACAACTCCTTTGAACCAACAATTACATCGAGGTGATCAAAATGAAGTTCATTGGAGTATCTTAAGGGTTGCCATGCTTAGGGCTATGATTTGAGCCATAATGGATCAAGATCTTAAAAGGATGACTTGAATGATGAATTCTAGGAGTGGCTCAAAGATATGATCATAATGGACTCATGTGTTGAGTCATGATTGATCAAGTATTCAAGCAAGCTATTCAAGTGAAGAATTCAATATACCCTTCAAGACGTCAAGATTGAACATGGAGTAGAGATATCGGTTGTCCAAGATGAAGCTCGAAGATCGAACTCTAAACGGTCAACGCATGAGTGCAAATGATGCACCACATAAGATCTTGTGGTATGATAAGAAATTATCAATTGCACTCTGTGGACTAACCCATACTATGTTTTGTCTATGTTTTTGAGGGTTAGGTGATTCTCATAGGTTTGCATCGAGAGAGAGATTTCAAGTGTCTATGAGAGGATGACATCAAGTGTTGGTGATCATGGTTGATAACGGCAAGTTCAAGATAACCATCACGAGGGATTACATGCTTGAAGCTTGTGGATGATCACATGATGGACAAGTGAAGATGAATACAAAGCAAGGCTTCCCATATTGTGTATGGGGGAGCTACTTGAAGACTTCACCAATGTCTTGCCTTCAACTTTAGCCAAGAAGAAACATCAACATCAAGCTCAAGTGAAAGGCTTGAGTTAGAGGCATTAGTTCCTTTGGTGTTAGTGTTGTGGAGGGATGACCACCGAAGAAACATATACACTCAAGATCGGATTCTCGATAGCTATGTAGTATAGCTCTTTTATGTTTCTTGAGTTATAGGGATCCCGCACTATTAAGAGGGGATCAAAGGGGTTAGTGATAGATTTTCTCAAGTCAACATCTTCTATTTCTACTTCCTCACATCGTATTCCAACATATGCGGATTTCACTCCTATCTAATACAAATACAATATGCCTATACATCTACCAAAGTAAACCCATAGCCAAATAGGTTCCCCAAAGTATATAATCTTATCTTTCCATACTTTGCACCCTCCATTTTGGTTTATCTTGGGTGGTTCTCTATGTGAGGACATGGAGCTTTTCCATAGCTTCAAAACGAGCCCAAAATCATCAAAGTCGAAGTCCGGATGAGAAAGTTATGCATGTTTTACTTTTGGAGCAGCTGCAGTTTTTGTGTTGGCCGGATGTCCGGGCTTCTCCACGGATGTCCGGCCACTGCTATCCAGAGGGCGTCTGATTTGTGTGAAATCGCCGGATGTCCGGCCCCTGGCCCGGATGTTCGGCCGTAGATGTCCAGAAACCTTACCGAAATGTTGTTTGTATACGCCGGATGTCCGGGCCCCCAAGTTTGGCTAGATGCCCGGGCCCTGTAACCTGTTTTTCTGCATACGTGTCTGCACACTTCACAACGGCCGGATGTCCGGCCCCAGGCCCGGATGTCCGGCCCGGCACAGCCACTTACACTCCAATGACCATATTTGCACTACCACTATATATATCCCTCTACCGATCTGGTAGAGGGTTGACCACTCCATTCTAAATATCCCGAGAACCCTAAGTGGCTCCCTCTCACTCTTCCACCCCAAATCCTAGATCCCGAAAGCATTTGTGAGAGTTCTTGAGAGGTGTTCCAATCAAAAGATAGATCCACTCCCTCTCCCTCTTGTGACCAAAGCAATTTGTGATTTGAGCAAGTTTTGAGCATTTCCCCTTTGTTCTTGTTACTCTTCGAGGTTGGAAACTCCTAGGAGGTAGGAGTGCTCCGGTGATGAATCAACTTGTGATTTGTCCCCCGAAAAGTTTGTGAAGGTTTGGAGTCCGCCTCAAGGTCTACCACTAGTGGTTGGGAATTGCCTTCATGGTGATATCTCAAGGGGAGAATAGGGCGAGCCTTCGTGGCGTTGGTGTGCCTTCGTGGTAACATCCATCCCTCCAACGGTGACTAGCTTCCCTCAAAGGAAGTGAACATCGAGATACATCCTCGTCTCCGTGTCTTCGGTTAATTCTAACTCTAGCCACTACTTGTGGTTTACTTTGGTCTCTTGACCTTGCATTCACTATATCTTGTTGTCCTCATTATATTGTGTTGGTTACCATATCGTAGAGATTATTTAGGCTAACACTTTATAGTCCGCAATTCATACGTGCTACTATTGTTCTATCTTGTGCTTAGTGTGAATTGCTAGCTTGTAACATTCATTTCCATATCTTGTGACATAACTTGTGTAAGCTTGTAGTGCTTACTTGAGTTTGATTGTATCATTCAATTCCATATATTGTGATACAATTTGTGTAAGCTTGTATTGCTTACTTGTGGTTGTGTGTATTATTCCTTTACATATCTTGTGATATACATTGAGTAAGTTTGTGTAACTTACTTGTGCTTACTCATATCCTCATTGTTCTCATCTTATTTATCCTAAGTTGTTGGTGCACTTAGTGAGCCTAGTATATTTAGGATTTGTGCTTGAAAAATATCCGCTTAGTTTATTTCCGCATTAGGATATAGCCAAATCCGTAAAAGATTTTAAAACGCCTATTCACCCCCCTCTAGGCGACATCGTGATCCTTTCAGTTGGGTGGTAGATGATGAGGTGGTCGCTAGGTTTTATGGGCAGTTGTGGTCGGTTCCTCCCACTCCCCATCGTTGTCTTCGTCCCACCTCTTTCTCTTGCGCCATCTACCATAGTCTGGATTATGATTTGCAACATCAAGGGCATTCGATAGGACGATAAACTGCTACAAGGAGTGTTACAGGATTCCAGAGTAAACAATGAGTCACCACACATGTTACACGATCTGCATTACCCGCTGAACATAACATTTACATTGATCTTCATCATGCCCCACGATGGCTTATACAACCGATATCTTCTAGCTATCGAGGATCTTCAGTCGGCTCCGAGTTTGCCGATGATGCTCTTTCTTGATCTTGTTTTACACAGTGGACATGCATAGGTTTGATATGAATTGGCCTTTACTTTTCACTATAGGTGCCAACTCCCAATAATGTACATCTCTGATAACAAACACGACCAACCAAGGGAGCTATATGAGCATTTCCCACCAGATTCAACTCTTGCCATACTCGAACACACACTAGACAATGTGACAGGAATCCACATATATATGTCCGCTATCTTTCAATAATATGGCATGCATAGCTGCGATGCAATGGCCTGTGCCTTTCGAGAAGTTCCCATATTCCATACACATTTCCAGACCAGGTTGACGGACCACCGACCTTCCCCATTCGATCTCCTACGTCCTTTTCCTAACGGATAGTTTTTGTCCGTATGGTACGCGGATTTCACCGAAAACACTTTCACCTTCACTCGGCACCGTACGCGGTCAGCCCTGAGTACGCGGATTTCACCGAGAACACATCCATTTTGCGCCCCAGTGCGCCATGCCAATCAACCCTCTCGGCAAAAAAGGGGCAGAGCAGTTTTCAGTACCCGATTGATTGGCAAATTATCAGCCACTGCAGCAACTCACCTCGAATTTAAAACTTTCCCAAAGCCACGGGTCAACCGGATCCCAACTCCGTTTCAACACCAAAGTTCCCCGGACGAGCGAATAGCCTTGCAGTTTGCGGTTGGAAGGCAGAGGGGATCCAGCAGAGATCCCGGCAGGCGAGCCGCGCCGCGCCGATCGCTCGGCGGTTGCCGCTTTGCCAGCGAGTGAAATCGGAGACTCCAGTTCAGTTCTGGCTTCGCTTCCTTCCCAGTTTCCTTCCAGTGCTGTGTGTGCAGTGTGATAGACTGACCGTCCCGTGGTCGTACTCCGGCGTACACGGGGCGTCGCAACGTTCGACTGAGGGTGGACTTGTCCTCTGCCCCTTCAAGTGTGCCAGTGCTGGGTGCGGAGCCGGAAAAAAAAAATACTCCTAGAAGAGAGAAGCATCGTCCATCTCTTTCCCTTACCTTTGTTCCCTCTTCCTCCCTCCTCCTGCCGACCTGACCCGACCTACCAACCCGCCTCCCCCACCGCGGCAGCTCGGAATCTCCCCTCGCCGTCCGCCCGCCCCACGGCTGCCGCCGCTGCCTCCGCCAAGCACCCCCGGCCGGGCCCCTCACGGCGCGTCGCCGCCGTCCCCCCCTTTCGCTCGTCGGGGCGTCGCGTTCCTGCTGCCTCCGCCCCGTCCGCGGTCCCCGGCCGCCGGTTTCCGAGGTACGAGCTTGTTTCCGCCCATTGATTAGCTGAGCCCCGCCGAGCCTCCGCGATTTCCGGGCGTGCCGGTGCGCGCCATCTAGATCCGCCCCTAAACTGTCAGTTGTCACCCCGACAGCTTCTCACCTAAACGAGGTGGGAACCCGTGTTTCCCCCGCTTTCCATATAGCATTCTGCCGATCGATCGCTCGAAGCGTGCGCACTCACTCTTGTTCCACTTCAAGCGGGGTATTCATGGCAAATGAGGTCACATGCTTGAGCAAGTGTCCGTCCGATGCTGGCAACTAATTAAGAACTTGGTTGGTCCGAAGTAAATGAAAATCAACCGCACATGATGCTGTAGCTCACCATATTCTTGTTCTGCTGTTGAATCACGCAAGCCAACCTAGGAAAACCTGAATGAGATGCAACATATTTTTATCTTGACAAATTTTCTTTTCATCCTTCACTTGCCCTAAGGACTGCTATTGGCACATGGTTAATACTGTTTCGAACTGAATTGCTGGTTTCTTAATACCTGGATATGTGTTAGACTTTAATGTGTATGGAAATGGAAGGAAGTGCTAGCTGGAATCTTACTCCATCTTGGGCTCTTGGTTTTGCAGATATCGTTCCATTGTCGGTCCATCGTGAAAGTCCAGGGTGTTGCATGCCATAACGAGAAAAGCCCGTGCTTACGCTCTCATCTGACTGGCAGAATATGGTAATCGATCAGTTTTGGTAACATTGTGGTGAGTGCGCTGCTGGTTAGATATACCACAGATCCTTCCATATTCGATATGCCATCATGGTGGGGGAAGTCTTCCTCCAAAGATGCAAAGAAAACCACCAAAGAGAACCTCATGGATACATTTCATCGGTTTATAAGTCCAAATGAGCAAAAAGGAAGCACAAAATCAAAACGGAGGTATAGACGTGGCGATGATACAGCTGTTGAAAAGGTCTGCCAGTCTACCACAGTATCGCGCGCAACTTCACCCTCAAAAGAAGTTTCTCGCTGTCAAAGCTTTTCAGCTGATAGGCTACATTCCCAACCACTTCCTGTTCCTGGATCACGTCCTGCAGTCACACGCACTGCTTCTGATGTCACTGAATCAAGGCCCATATTAGAAAAACGTGGCAAACCACCACTGCTTCTGCCACTTCCTAAACCTAACAGGCCTCAGAGAAGGTCAGAAATAGTGATTGCTTCCCTCTCTAGCAACTGCTCTGTTGATAGTGATGACCATGGAGATTCTCAGCTTCCGAGCCCTGTTGGAAATGATGCTGAAAACACAACAAATACTACTTCCAAGAGCAAGTCAAGGTATGCTCCTTATTGTAGTGCATTAATTTTGTGCCTCTTCGTTCAAACTTGCTCTTACATATATTTTTATTCTGCTTGAACCTGAAGTAATGTGCGCAAAGAGCGTCCTGGTGCTATCACCACCAAGAATACCAAGGAGACGGCAAAGACAGCTAATCAATTCCTCAGTAACCATACATTGTCCACATCGCCGAGAGGTATTGCAGCTGATAATCACCAACCTAATCCACAAAATCCTCGGCCGGTAGTCTTGGAGAGTGCTCCGAATAGTTTGATGTCAAGTCCATCTAGAAGTCCGAGAAGAATATGTCCGGATCATATTCCAACTTCAGCCTTTTGGGCAGTGAAGCCTCATACAGATGTTACTTTCCTTGGCTCTGGTCAGTGCTCCAGTCCAGGTTCAGGGCAAACATCTGGGCACAACTCCGTGGGTGGTGATATGCTAGCCCAGCTTTTCTGGCAGCCCAGCAGAGGTAGTCCAGAGTGTTCACCGATTCCTAGCCCAAGAATGACAAGTCCTGGCCCTAGTTCCAGGGTGCACAGTGGAAGTGTTTCTCCGTTGCATCCGAGGTCTGGAGGGATGGCACCTGAATCTCCGACAGGTCGGAATGATGGTGGGAAGAAGAAGCAAACCCACAGATTGCCTCTTCCACCACTGAGCATCTCTAATAATTCATTTTTTCCAAACAAGTCCACGCCAGCTAGTCCTATTTCAGTGCCTCGTAGTCCTGGTCGACCAGAGAATCCACCGAGTCCTGGATCACGATGGAAGAAGGGGAAGCTGATTGGTCGTGGGACATTTGGCCATGTATATGTCGGCTTTAACAGGTATATGTTTTCCTACATATGGAACTTCAAAATTTCATTGTATGACTTACTGTACATATACTTTAAGCATGTTTTAGAGTTTTTCTATGGTGCTTGCGTAACTTGGTTCTATTCTGGTCATCTTGATTTTCAGCAAGTTTTTCGTGTGTATGGACTCTCACAATATCTTGTTTCATTTCATATTGTCTCGTACAATTTTCTGTTATTTCAGAGGTATAGTCATATTTTATGTGGCAGTCACTGCAGCAGCTTGCTATCTTTTCACTTTAAAGACTAGATGTCTAGGGCGTTTACATAAGTTTATGGTGTGACATGCACTGTTTCCAGCGAGGAGCTAAATAATACTACTTCTGTTTGTCAAAGGAGGGCATGACATTTGTTCCGCTAAGACCAAGGAGGGCTTGGGGAAGCAGTTTTGGACCCTTTTACCCATGGTAAAGCACACATTTGAGCAGTTATTAGCCCACAACACGAACACCCTTAATCGTCTCTCTAGCCATGCCACAGTTACTCGGTTTCCTCACGCCCTTGCACTTGCTGCTCCGCGCATGCTCACCCGCCCACGCACTTTGCATACAGAATGTGTGAGCCATTGTGAACCGTGCATTCGCTTCGCTTGGCACATGCAAGGCCATGGAATTTTCCATTTATGCATACATGCGGATTTACTATGAGAGAAGCAAACCGCAATAAACGCAGGCACAGAAGCCGGAGAATTCAGCCGCAGCTTATTTAATTTGGCGTGTCAATAAAGGAGCACGGGCGTGTGACTTGGGGGTATTTTTGGCAGGTTTAACGCTAAATTAGTCTTTCAGGGAATTTTGGCGAATAAAACTCAATGCCTACCTTAAAGGAACGGAGGTAGTAGTAAACAAAATTCATTCAAATCATAACCATATCTACCTTGCCTAAAGTCCGCGCCTAGTGGATATGATTCTTAGGATTGGACATCCCTAGCACTGAAAGTTACCGTTTGCAGAAGAGCAGATGATATTGCTATCTTATGTTAATGGTAGACTCGCTTGTATTCAGACTCATAAGTCATTGAATTCTAGTTACCATATTAACGTGTTAAAGCACGATATGGTAAGGATAAGAGAAGTTAATATTCTTTTTGGGTTACTGAACATAATTGTGACAATTATATAGTTTATGTGGCTTAAATCTTCATCTCTACTGCTATAAAGAAATCAGTTGGTGGGTGATGGTCCTTTCAACTTGGGGTTGTACCAAGTACTACCAACGGTCCAATTTGCCATTCTATGAGTCGCTTCCTTTTTGCGTATGGCACCCCTACTCCCTTTGGCAGCATCTACTAATTCAGAACTTAATTTGAAAGCCATATTTCGACCTGGATGCTTTTGGGATGCTTCTAATAACCAATGAATGGCAAGTGCTCTTCCTTGTTTAGATCCTATTTCAATCGGAACTTTCCGCGTCGATCCTTTTTTATTACGTCTTGTTTTTACTCCTGCTACCAAAGCGTAAGATTAAAATGGAATCGCTCACCACCCACTTAAGTCTGTTTTACAGAAACACCTCGATCTACAATGAATTTCATAGATACTGGAAGGAACGCCCCACCTTAATAAATCAACTAGCCTCACAAACATGTTGTACGCCTTTTTTTATTCACTGGCATCACATAGTTTCCTTGCTAGTACTATATGATGATTGTTTGATTATTTTCAAATCATGCCTTGATTCCTCACAGTCCTTTCCCCCTGTTTTGGTTTCACAATCTATACCAGTGATAGCGGTGAAATGTGTGCTATGAAAGAGGTGACCCTATTCTCGGATGATCCTAAATCAAAGGAAAGTGCAAAGCAGTTGGGGCAGGTATGGTTTTTAAAATGTGCTTCCACCTATACTATGTTACTACCACAGCAGCAAAAAAGATCAGTTTATTTATTATTATTTTCCATTCAGTGTGTCATTTATTCTTTCTTTCTCAGGAAATATCGCTCTTGAGCCGCTTACAACACCCAAATATCGTACGATACTATGGCACAGAAACGGTATAAACTGTTGCCTTCAATTGTTATTTACTTGGTATTCTTTGATTTCTGGTTGGACTGCTATCTTTTCCTGTAAGTTCAGAGGATTATACCTGTAACTGTGTTGTTATCATGTTTGTACCTTTCTCCCTTTTTCATGGGTGGCAAGAGAGTTTATGATAGCTTCTTGGGATTTCATTGAAAGGCTCCTTTATGCAACACTTTTCATTTTTGGGCATGACTTTATACATTATTTATGCCCCAAAACAGGTTGATGACAAACTGTATATATATTTGGAGTTTGTGTCTGGTGGATCTATCCATAAACTTCTACAAGAGTATGGACAGCTTGGTGAACCAGCAATACGCAGCTACACTCAGCAGATACTCTCAGGCTTAGCTTATTTGCATGCGAAGAATACAGTCCATAGGTAGCATTCAGTTTGTTTTGGTTGCATCTATGCATTAGTGGAATTTTGGTGTACTGAAGTCATGCTTACGCAACATGCAGGGATATCAAAGGTGCAAACATACTAGTAGATCCTAGCGGTCGTGTTAAGCTTGCAGACTTTGGAATGGCTAAACATGTAAGTTTTCTGGTCACAAATGGCCTCTCTTATATGGTAATAAATGTATTTTACTAATTATGTTGTATTGATGGTATCTTATTGTTCACCTTTTTGGGGTACCTTCTGCCAGATCAATGGGCAGCAATGTCCTTTCTCATTTAAGGGTAGCCCATATTGGATGGCTCCAGAGGTACTCTTGAAAATATTATGCTCCTACGTTACTTTGTATATTTTCATTTCAGAGTATCTTATTTTCTTTTCTTTTGGTTACAAATTTATACTTAACATGCATGCAGGTTATAAAGAGTTCGAATGGTGGTTGCAATCTTGCGGTTGACATATGGAGTTTAGGATGCACTGTCCTGGAGATGGCTACCGCAAAACCCCCATGGAGCCAGTACGAAGGGGTCAGTATTCTACCACAAAGATGCACTTTATATTTGTTCTATAATATCAGATGGCCAATGTGTGTCGCAAGCTGCATTTCTTACTTCATCTGTGTTCTACACAGGCTGTTAAACTTCAAGAATACCTTTCAAGTTGATTAAACTATGAGTTCAGCTTAAGATTGACTTTCTGCTTCCTGCTATTTGTTTCGGATGACTGCTATTTTGGATTTTTTGAATTTGACGGTGTCCTCGAAGCATTTTTTTTTCAATTTACCTTAGAATGAGCAAGCTGTCTGGAGTGATGTGCATACATGTCAGTGAAATAACCTTTCTCACATAAACTACCAAATACTAGTTCTGTGACAGGTGTAGTATGTTAACCATTTCCTGCACATATTGTCTGGTTTTCGCACCTTCTGCCAGATAACAAGCCATTTCTGTAAAATTATATAGAAAGCATGGAAAATTTGCTGCAGACTGCTTCCTTCCTGAAACTCTGCCAGTTACCTACACAAGTGAACCAGCTACCCGTTTCTGTTACACTGATACTAGGAGATAGGCAAAGAGCTCAGCCTTCAGAGTTTTACCCAACATAACTAATCCTTTAAACTGGGAACATATGACAAAAGATGCTGAAAAAGAAAATAAACTTGGAAAAAAAATATATTTTTGTCCACAACAGATGAATGGATATGACACCTTTATTTTCCTGGGTTGTTTAAGAACTTATGACTGTCTTGACGTGGAAACTCCAAAAACACATTTACTTGCATGTAATTTTATGAAACATTGAGATGATAAGGCTTCCATTTTTGGTTGGTCATGATAAGTAAGTAATCATCAAATATTTCCCCGCTTTTCTCACCAACAGATTGCTGCAATGTTCAAGATTGGAAATAGCAAGGAACTTCCACCAATACCAGATCACCTATCAGAGCAGTGCAAGGACTTCATCAGGAAGTGTCTGCAACGTGATCCTTCTCAACGGCCGACAGCAATGGAGCTTTTGCAACACCCGTTCATACAATATAAAGTCCGACTTGAGAAATCCGTTATGTCTGATCCTTTGGACCATTTGCCCGTGATATCTTGTAGACCGAATTCTAAGGTAACAATACTTCTTTGTAACTGACATATCGGGGAGGACTCGGTGTCTACTTTTGTCATTCTCGTGGTCTTCTCACTTTGCTAGGCTTCTACTGATCTTTTAGGTGGCTGGACATACAACAAATATTTCGTCATTGGGATTGGAGGGTCAGACAATTTACCAGAGAAGGGGTGCAAAATATTCTTCGAAGCATAGGTACACCATTTCCCAAGTTCTGCTTATTTACTTCAGAAACACACACTGTCGTCCAAACGTTTTTGCAGCAAGCCAGTAACCCATAACTAAAGCGTTAGCTATGCAAATTAAAGCCATCCTACCTGGAACTTCTTTGCAGCACCAGACATCATACAGTTTTCTACTGCCAATATCCTAAAAGGCTATAGGTGGCAGGGTCGCACCCTAAATGTCAAAAAAACCACTTCGGTGCACGTGCTCCAGTGAGCACTATATTTTGAATAGTTCCAAAATGGTATTTTGATTAAAAAAACCTGAAAAAAGTTTTACATGTTCATATGGATGTACACTACACATGTGCAAATTTATGTGATTAAATAAGTAACCATGCGAGCCACACAAAAATGACAATTGCGATTTTGGAAAGATGAACAGGGCATATACTGTTCACTATTTAGAAATCACCATTTTCACATTTTGTGTATACATGCTTACTTATTTCATCACCAAAATTTACACATATGTAATATACATCCATATGAACATGCAGATTGTTTTTGGAAAATTTTGAAACTTTAAAATGTAATTTTTGAACTATTCAAAATAAAGTGCTCCAATGCACCCGTCCTCCAAAAATCCGCTTTCCCTAAATGTGGACTATTCATTAAGCAGGCACCTAGGTGCGCTGGACAGACAGGAGGGGAGCCTAGCGCCCTCCTTTTAGCGCAGTGTCTACAGCTAGCCTCATGCTTACTAGGAAATTGATTTATGGTGGACTTTATTTATCTTTGCATGGCACCTCATATTGTTGTTTACTTTGCAGCGATATCCATATACGGAGCAATATATCATGTCCAGTTTCTCCATGTGGAAGTCCTCTGCTAAGGTCAAGGTCTCCCCAACATACAAATGGCCGAATGTCACCCTCTCCAATTTCAAGCCCCAGAACCCTTTCAGGCACCTCTACTCCCCCGTCTGGTGGAAATGGTGCTATTCCCTTTAATCATTCGAAGCAACCAACCTACAGCAATGAAGGATTTGCAATCGCATCAAGAGGCCCAGATGATCACTTCCCCAACCGGCCTACAGATCGTAACCTTGGGCAATTTGGTCGAGTGCATCAAGTCTCACAGGTGAGTCAGGAGAGGATAGTAACTGAAGCTAACATTCTGAGCCCTCAATTTGGAAAGAGGCTTGGAAACGTTTTTGATCTGCGAGATAGACTGTCGCCTTCTGAACATTTCAGTCGTCCTACCTTGGTGGATCATGTGAAGCCAAATCCTTCACTAGACTTAACAACTTGTTCTCCCCACCTTGGACACAAGCGTGATAACTAATTATCAAGGATAGGCCAAGTGATTTCTTTTGGAGCTTGGTAGGGTAACTGAGTGGTTTTCAGCTGCTTTGGCCATTCAGTCGCTGGAATTGTATCATAATATGACTATGGGAAATATCATTGGTTTATTTTGAAGCCAACAACTGTAGATGGATGGAGTCTTTGTTGTCATCCCCACAGATAGACAAAGGTATGTCACAAATCTTACAGTTTTTAGTTGATCGCCTGCGTTCAATTTCTTGAAGCCAGGATCTTTTGCACCTTCAATGTTGTGTGCCACCTTTTCTAGCACTCAACTAAATGCACAACTGGTTTTATTACCATGCTAGCGGCTAAGTGAACATGGCTCAAAATGTTCTCCTGAACTTGTAGAACTATAGAGTTTAATGCACGAAGACGTAAATAAAACCACAATTCCTTTACGTTTTCAAGCATCGCACTTGCTTTCGGGAAACTGAAGCTTGTCTTGACCACAGTTCTTACAAATTTTGCTCTGTACATCGCAGCCCATCCATCCATCACTGTCAGGCGGAACAACTGGGTGTTTGCATACTACTACTACTGGCGTGCTAACAACATGCGTCGAAACGACAAGACTGTATACTAGGAGACTGAAGAAGCCAGAGCAGTTGGCCACCTCCCTGCCTCTACATGTTAATTGCCTTTCTTGGCGTCCTGATGCCATTTGTACAGAAGTAATCTCAAGTAAAAGCCAACCAATATTTTGCACAGGAGAAACAGTTGAGCCAAATTATTTTTAACAGCTACCCGAGGCTGAAGCGGCGGCTGCAAGTCACCATGGAAACTCGTACAAAGAGCATGGTCCCTAATTAAATTAGCTCTCCCGACATGTATAATTTCTCATTCAGATGTACCATGCCCGTCCAGTTGTTCATATTGAATCCGTATATATACAACTTGTCTGCGTTACTGCCGGTAGCTGTATTCCTCCAGGTTCCATATGCGCTCTGCACGTGTTTCGCGGCAAGATGGTGAACGGCCCTGGCATGGAGCCAAGCAGTAAGCCATATGTTCTGCAAACGATGATGGTGCGCTCCGTGTAAAGGTTGTGTGCATCGTCGTGTCTGCTCCTAGTCAGCTCAGTTTGGCACTATGCTACTATGCATTATTATGTCTTGGCATGCCATCCTTCCAGGTCCAGTTGCCTTCCTACCACGGTGACAGAGGCCACGGTTTGTCCTGCCGATCTACCAGCGTCGCTCAGCTCCCAGATCGGGCCGACAGCGTGAGCCCCCTTGGAGCTGGCGCGGTGGCCACCAGGGCTCACAGAGCCGCCGCACACGCACCGGTTGTTTTCAGAATTCACCCTTGCCTGTACGATTTCCTCGCATTCATTGCCTTTGCTTCGTGTGCCCGCATCTTCCACTTGCACCGGTTGGCATTGGCAACCCGCCGTGTACCGTTCGCGGCTAGACGGCAGAGAAACAAACGGCCGGAGCAAGGCGTCTGCCACGGTGTACAGCTTGTCTGCTTGCAGTGTAGCGTTACCATTCTACTTGCTACAGGACCAGAGCGGCAGGCCACGCCACGCCCCCACGCCGCTAGTTGCCAACCGGCGGTGGCTCCGCTCATCATTGTCCTTTGCCCCCATCACTCTAGCCTGTGACCAAGGGCCTGCCATTGCTTCAGCACGGCCTGACAGGTGGTATAGGCTCCATGCATGGGCGTAGCACGCAGCTGAGCAACGGCTCGAATGAAGAGAGACTTCTCTTTACTCGCGGTGAATGGCAGAAAGACGGGGCACACACATGAATAAACTTGATTGGATTGGATTTGCACACACAACTGAGTACTGGTGAGATTACATACAAGTCTGGGTCCAGGTTCAGGTGAATACAGAGCAAGACTAGTACATCAAACTTGGAAGACAAATTGGAATTCCACGGTAGTAACACGGATGATGATGGGAAGAGATAGCCGCCCCATCAGAAATTCAGAACACGCAGCCTGCTCTTCGGTTTGGGCTGGCATCTTCTTTGCAGCAGCAGGAGCGGCTTAGGACTTGGTCTTGAACGGGATCGCTCTGATGACCACCTGGTGGTACACGGCGGCCAGCGCGGCGCCGATGAAGGGGCCGACCCAGAAGATCCACTGCAAACACGAAATATTTGAGGAAATAGTTAGCACTTATAAGCAGAACAATGCTAAATTATTTCCTAGATAATATTAATCTATAATGGACATTCAAGTCACTGTCCTACTAAGAAGGCAGTGGTTGCGTGCTACGCTGAGGCAAGTCTCTATGCATTTCCCTTGAGATCAGGGTAGACTTCCCATATTTGAATAGGAGTAACTAGCAGATGATATAGTACTACCATCAGCTATAACTGCTCAATTATTGCAGCTACTGTCACATCGGTTCACCAGATTAATAAACTTCCCAATTTCACATCGGTTAATTAGGTGTGCAATAGAGAGTAGTTATGCGTCACATCGGTTCACCAGATTAAACTTCTCAATTTCACATACATCAGTTAATTAGGTGTGCGATAGAGAGTAGCTATCCGTCTGCATCAACTTTTCAGTTACTGAATACTACTGCTACCACATGCCTGCAGTTACTACCACTGCAGAAAACAAGCTAGTGCCATGCTTTCAAGTTCAGACAGAGGAAAGGAGGGGTGTTTGGTTTCGGTTCACTCACGTGGTCTGACCAGGCGTGCTCCCTGTTGTAGATGATGGCCGCGCCGAGGCTCCTCGCCGGGTTGATGCCGGTGCCGGTGATGGGGATGGTGGCCAGGTGGACCAGGAACACGGCGAACCCGATGGGCAGCGGGGCGAGGATCTGTCGACGTTCCACAGGCAATAAGTAGTCATTAACTTAGCACAGTAAGGAAATTTGAACATCTTTTTTTACTACTGGCTGTCGACGGGGGAAAGAAGTAGAACGGCGGTGATGGCACTCACGGGAACGTGGGAGTCCCTGGCGTTCCTCTTGGCGTCGGTGGCGGAGAAGACGGTGTAGACGAGGACAAAGGTGCCGATGATCTCGGCGCCGAGGCCGGAGCCCTTGGTGTAGCCGGGCGCCACCACGTTGGCGCCGCCGCCGTTGCCCATGTACAGGCCCTGCTGGAACCCCTTCACCACGCCGGCGCCGCAGATGGCGCCCAGGCACTGCATGATGATGTAGAACACCGCCCTGGTCAGCGACAGCTTCCTCGCCAGGAACAGCCCGAAGGTCACCGCCGGGTTGATGTGCCCGCCTGCATCCATCCATCCCTTACCAGTTAGCAGCTAGCACCACACACAAAAAAGAAGAACATACTGTAGGAAGCAACCAGAAGCAAGCAGAGAGCAAGGAACGGTACCGGAGATGCCGGCGGTGCAGTAGACGAGGGCGAAGATCATGCCGCCGAAGGACCAGGCGATGCCCTGGATGCCGACGGTGGCGCACTTGGAGGTGGCGCCGCTGTAGCCCATCACGGTGAGGATGGTGACGTAGAGGAAGAGGAAGGTGGCCATGAACTCGGCGATGCCGGCGCGGTAGAAGGACCAGGACTTGAGCTCGCCGGGCTCGAACAGCGGCGCCGGCGGGGGCTCCTTGTAGTCCTTGTCCTCGGACCCCTGCGCCGCCGTGCCGATGGGCTGCCGCTCCGAGTACTTGTTCGCTCCGAGCCGCACGTCCTCCTCCTTGCCCTCCATCGCTGCTACCCTCGCCGGAAGGTGGTCGCTGCTCGCCTGAGCTGGAATGGAACAAGATGGCTTTTGTGAGCTTGTGGTGAGGGCCGCACTGGGACTGAAGAGTCTTATAGGGCCAACCGGCGGTTCTGGAAGGAAGGGGTGGAGGACGACGGGTGACGAGGACGGCGGGTGGTGGTGGCCCGGCGTGACAGCGAGGATGAGCGGGCTGGCTTGCTGTTTAGCCTGTTTGTTGCCTAGCTCGCCGCTGCTGCAGCGCTGGTGTTTGTTTGTTTATCCGCTTGTGTTTAACGTTTGAACAAATAAATATTCTTTTCTGAAGCTAAGAAGGAATTATTATTATTTCAGGCTCAGAGAATTGGTGCAACTCCTGCGTGATCAATCAGTGGCCTGCAAATTGCAATTGCTATTGCACCAACTCTCTCAGAACATCAATTAGGCATCAGGTAGACAAATGCTTCTTATATTCAGCATTTTGCTAATCGCAATTCAGTTTCAAGCTAGTGGTGTCTTTCTTTTTGTTTTCGAAAAGGGTTAAGGCTATATATTAAAATTCGCAAGACCTTACAAACACATCCATATAGAAAACAAAACTACAATCAAAGCCTTCGGGCTGCTGAAGTCTTTGGGGCTGAAGTATTCTTCCTCCTGCATCCGTCGATGACGTGTCGTGAGCATACCTCGATGCCCCTCGAGGCCTTCCCTTGTTGGAGCAAACTTTTGGAAACCCAGAAGAGGCCATAAAGTCGTCGATGCGGAATGGGAGACGTCGGCGGCCGCTACCTGTTAGAGAAGAGAGCCGTTGGTGTCAAAAAAAAATATCATCTCGCTCCCGGGAACCCCCTTCCCCCTCCCTCCGCGCTTTTCACGATAGCGCTTGCTCAACAATCGGTCCTCCCCTCCTCCCCATCTCCTTCCCTTCGTCGTCGTCATCGTAGGGTGTCCGCCGGGCAAAGTTCGTGTGACATTGGCAGTGGCGTGGCTCTGGCCTCGCTCCCCTGCTGGAGATTTAGGCGGCGTGGGAAAGCTGCTCGTGGGGGCATGGGCTTCTGTGGGGCTCCTGGCGACGGGCGCGCATCGATCCGGCGGTTGTTGGGCTGGGAGGCGGCGGTGGCTTGGTCAAGCTTGCTCGAATCTAGATCCCGACGTGTTGTGGATTGCGCAGCCGTTGGTGCTTGTCGATGAGGTGTTCCTGCGACGCGCTGCAGGTGCTAGGGTGTGGCGGTGGCGGTGACTGCGCCCCGACGTCAAGGGACTGGTCTAGGCCGCGGTGATTTTCCAGATCATGGCCGACCGTGTAGGCTTGTCTCACGTAGGTGGCAGTGGCGGTGACTGCGCCCC